ACCCTGACCGGCTGACCTCTCCGGGGTCGCCTGTGCCAGCCGGCCGTCGCCCGGTGTGGGACAGTCAGCAGCCGGCCGGGGTCGAGTTGTGGCTGGCCGCAGGGCCGCGCTGGTGACCGCCGGCTGACGACGGCGCTGCCGCTGCTGATTTAGGCGCCGGCCGGCCGCCGCCGACCGATTACAACCCCACACGTCGGCACCACGACGGCCGGGCCGGCGCAGCGAGGCTGGGCCGCAGAAGCTGGCGCATGTCGTCGCCTCCTCTGTCTAGCAGCACGGGCAAAACAAAGCGAAAGGAAATCATAACGTTCAGTTGTAGTTTATGCGAGCTGCTGCTCGCTGCATAGGTCCGTGTAGTCGTGGTTGTGTTTGTTCTAAGTGATAAAACAGCGTCTCCCAGTGCACCTGCTCTGATTCAGGCGTGGCAGGGTGTCCGGTAAACATACCAATGAACAGTCGTATTTAGTAGATGATCTTGCCAACGCAGTCTTGACTGCACATGGGGGCGAACTCAGTTAAGATTGCGTCATGATTGAGGTTATGGCGTTTATGCGTCCGGGGAAAGGGATAGCGCGGATCAGACGTGTCGCGCAGATCCTGGCATGCGCAGATCCGCGTGCGCCATAGACCAACGGATCTGTGTGCACAGGTTCGTGACAATTGTGGAGCAGACTGTGGCAAGGATGTCTGAAACTGCATAACTGAGCGCATAAAATGTTTGTTGTCGCGACGCAGGGTAATATGGACTATCTACTGTGTGCATACCCCGGCACCAATAACATTAATCGGCGTTACCTCCAAGTGTTGTTCGCCCTTTGCACGTTACTCCAAAGCTGTAACGATGTTCACATGTTTGTCATTCTCTCCATCCGTAATCCTCTCCGACATTTGCCTTTGCCCTGCCATTGCTGCTGTCTTAGGCAGCGGAAGGCAGGTCATATCCTAACCTGTGCTGATGTCCTGAATGTGTGTGGCGTCCCTGATCTCGGTGACCTCTGCGCACCAAGCCGCGCAGACCGCCGGCTGCTCCACCAGCTGCGCACGTGCAACGAGCCCGGTCGGTGTGGACATTCCGGTGGAGCTCGGCCACCACGAACGTGACCAGGTCCCACTGGGGCTGCGCCGAGGTACCTCGTAAATCCCCTCGCCTCATACTCGCCCCCCCCCCCCCCCGCCGGCCTTCCAGCGTCCAGCGGAGATGCACGTAACCGGTTGGTCCCGTGAGGCCGCCATGCCTCTGTGAGCGAGGAAGAGGGGGGGGGGGGGGGGGACGCTCCCAGCGTTTGATGACGTTGGGGTCGGAAAGCAACGTTTTCTAATACGCAGCACCTGAACATCCGAGTGTTTCGGACGGTCCCAGAAGTCGCCTAGTGCTGCTGCGGCTTTTCCCCCGCGACAAAATGGCGGCGGTTTCTGCTGTGCTGGCGTGCTGTTGTACGGGTAGGTGGCAATCTTGGAATGCTGCGTCAGAGAGCAGCGGCGAGGCCGGCGCTGGGCTCGGCCGCCCGCTGGGTCCCAACTGTCCAGACGTCAGCGCTGCGTCACCAGGCCGTATCAGGACAAGATAGGGCCGGACCGCGCCTCAAACGCGGCGACCGCGGCCAATGATAGCGACACGGAAGCTGGCGTGGCTGGGACGCTGTATCGACTGAACGGAGCAGTGAAGGCGGAAGCGGGCTGGGCGTGGTCATGGTCTCTGAGCGTGACGGATGGCCCATAGCTCCCGGAGGTCGTCAGAGCTGACGCTCGCACGTTATTCTGCCGTGTGCCTTTCATAGAGCGCAGCTACTCAGCGCATGTGGGCCGCTGTGCTGGTGCACGAGCGAGGCCAGCGCTGTGCTGGTGTACGAGCGAGGCCGGCAGCCCCTCGCTGTGCTGATGCACAGGCGAGGCCGGCAGCCCTTCAGCACAGATTGGCCGCTGTGCTGGTGCACGAGCGAGGCCGGCAGCCCTTCAGCACAGATTGGCCGCTGTGCTGGTGCACGAGCGAGGCCGGCAACCCTTCAGCGCAGATTGGCCGCTGTGCTGGTGCACGAGCGAGGCCGGCAGCCCTTCAGCGCAGATTGGCCGCTGTGCTGGTGCACGAGCGAGGCCGGCAGCCCTTCAGCGCAGATCGGCTGCTGTGCTGGAGTACGAGCGAGGCCGGCAGCCCCTCGCTGTGCTGGTGCACGAGCGAGGCCGCAGACCGAGTGAGTCTTAGCACGGCTCATACTGTCACCTCTGTGCCGGTGCACGAGCGAGGCCGCAGACCGAGTGAGTCTTAGCACGGCTCACACTGTCCCTCTGTGCTAGTGCACGAACGAGGCCGCAGACCGAGTGAGTCTTAGCACGGCTCACACTGTCACCTCTGTGCTAGTGCACGAACGAGGCCGCAGACCGAGTGAGTCCTAGCACGGCTCACACTGTCACCTCTGTGCTAGTGCACGAACGAGGCCGCAGCCCGAGTGAGTCTTAGCACGGCTCACACTGTCACCTCTGTGCTAGTGCACGAACGAGGCCGCAGACCGAGTGAGTCTTAGCACGGCTCACACTGTCACCTCTGTGCTAGTGCACGAACGAGGCCGCAGACCGAGTGAGTCTTAGCACGGCTCACACTGTCACCTCTGTGCTGGTGCACGAGCGAGGCCGCAGACCGAGTGAGTCTTAGCACGGCTCACACTGTCACCTCTGTGCTGGTACACGAGCGAGGCCGCAGACCGAGTGAGTCTTAGCACGGCTCACACTGTCACCTCTGTGCTGGTACACGAGCGAGGCCGCAGGACCGAGTGAGTCTTAGCACGGGCCACACTGTCACCTGTCTGTCCGTTTTCGGGGGACGGCGCTGCACTCGTCAGCCGTCGCAGACAAACGGACTGCGGGTGACGCCATATTTTAGAGTGACGTCACCTACGCTGTTTGCATCAGCTGGCTGCAAAACATTATTACAACATTTTACTATGTTTCTTTCCATGTAGCGTGGTAGCTTATTGGCTTCAATGTAATGTTGGCCACAGTTACTGACAGCCACCTGCCTCCCCTCCCCCAGCCGCATCTCCATTATCTGTTGCGAATCAACAGCGGATTTGACTTGGGTCATACAAATACATGAATTGAAATGATTGATACATTTAACGAAAATCCGCTACTGTCGTTTTCCTCACCTGGCAACTTCAATTGTGCATGAAGCATCCAAATCGCTTTCCCCAAACTGTCGCATCTGATCCTGAATTTGGCGCGCCGCCTTTACATGCTTGCATAAAAGCCAGTCGTTACAGATCATCCTCTCGGTCGTAGTAACTAACGTAGTCTGCTGACTGACCTGTCACGCCCCGTGGGCGTGCTCACAAGATTCCGTCACAAGGCCCGAGTCCGGCATGAAGCATAATAATGATCAAAATTCACACGTGACCTGGCTGCTCCAAAGGAATTTCGGCACCTCACACGCAGCAGTTTATAATATGTATGCGCGCAGGAATCGGCCTTGTTGAAGCCTCAGGCGGTGTTTTCTCAGCGCCTTCAATAGTTGCGGCGGCTTTCTGATGGGCAGCACAAGAACGAACACTTTTCCACATGAGCTCACAGGGAATAGCTGAGGAGTCTGCTGAAAGGTTGGGTTTGAAGCCAGGAGGCTAGTGCATAGTGTCGGGCTGACTTATCCACCTCGTCGTCTGCAGCGGTTACTTGGGGCTCCCAAGTCGTCTTTAGCAGTTATTTAAAAGTATTCCAAGTCGTCTGCAGCAAAATCTGGCGCAGATAGACTGCGGGAGGTCGAGGCCAGGGCGACACATGTATCGGTGCTCGGGGTCAAGTGACGTGAACTTTGCACCTGCGATAGCGGCACACCACGTCACGTCACGACAGAGCAATCAACCCTTCACCTCCCTAACTCAGATCCTACCGAGGAGCCCGCAAGCCAACCGATATGCGTACGCAGAACGAGGGTGAACGTCATGTCTGGTAATAAGGTCGTTAGTAAGTGACTGATTCTGTTATGAAAATATTCTTGTGAAGGGTTAGGTCGTGGCACAGGTGCGCATTCCTGGCTGAAAACTGCTCAGGTTCCTGTAGGGCATCATGTATATATAGACGCATTTCCTTCGTCCGGAGAGGTCTTTATGCAACAGTTTTTGACATTGCGCAGTGGTTCTAGTTGCTTGCTCGTCTACAGTGATGCAGTGTAGGATCAGCGGTATCGCGAATCATTCCTTGAATTCAGTCCTTACAATACATTAAAACGCCGTTATTGTGACTTAAGCGATGTGTGTGAATTAGAGTGGATCTGCAGACGCCACGCCGGTGGACCTGAGACAATTAATAAATTAAACAAGCATGGATTGCACACATCTTCCAACGCATTGATCAAACCCATTGTTATCAGCTGTCGTATGCATCTGGCTCAGTTTGTGTAGTTTCTGGGTTCATCTACCTGATACCAACTAACCGCTCTTAATTCCTTTATCGTGTCGTTTGATTCCCGCCGCTAAGAGCGTCTTACTGATTCAGGGAGCGGATGGACTGTGCGGCCGTTACGTTTACCTTGTTTTTTTTGTCAGCTGAGGAGTTTGAGGCTTGGTCAACTGATGAGTTTGTAGTCATTTGACGCCGCCCGTGCACCCGGTAATTGCCTTCCGGAGTTGCAAAAGTATTCATATGAAGACGTTTGGTTCTGTAGGCAACTAGGCACGGCCTTTTTACTACTTTTTTTAGCCGCAATTTTGGTACCTGATCCAATTAAGTCGTGAGCTGCGTACTTCATTTCAATGCACGGAGGCATCAAGATCATCGACATGAACTGATAGACTTACTTCACAACGTGGGAATAACAGGAAATACTTCATCTGGTAAGAAGTGCAGACCAATAGCTTGGGTTTCGCACGTCTGTGACGTGTTGAAGGCATATGAAAGTGCTGTGATCTGAAAATGTTATCCACACTTATGTAATGGCTTCGTTGTTACAAAGGAACAAACGCATGCTTCTGTAACGAATTGCTCATGCTAATCGCCTGTTTTGTACATTGCAGTTGAAGAAATCACCTGGAGTTGACAGTAACGAGAACAACATCGAAACTCACAGGTAAGTCATCCGTCACGAAGGCCCGTGCTGTCAGCATCCTGCCTGAACTGTGGTGTAACGTTAAAACTGTTGAGCTGTTAAAGGGAGTGCTCCACCTTTGGGACATGTAAAAAAAAAATACTTGAGTGAGACTTCAGCACTAGTTGCGACTTACAGTAATGCTGGCTAGGGCCACTGTAGCACCGTCAAGACACTAGGCTTAATGGTTTTTTTCGAGTCCAGATCACGCCGGCCACGTTTTTCAACAGCAATACCGAGTGCTATGATGCTACTTTCGTGCAGTCGCGGCAAGCGTCGCCATGACAACCACCGTGTACATCTCCACTGGTGCGAATAAAAGGACGGTTGTGATTGGGCCGGCGGGCAAGTACCTGTTACCGAGGAGCACATCGGGTGAAGTCCTAACCAGTGCGTCACCTGGATCATTTGATGCCACCATGCCCAAAACCAAAGTGTGTCCCACTTAGAGCCACTGTGGTAAACGATTTAGGGGAGAAATCAAAGCCGTAGTCAAATGTTTAGTTGTATTTGTGGGACAAAAGCGTCATGTTCACGTATGCTATTGTCTAAACAGAATTTGTCAAGCTTTTGTAGCATTTACTACACAAAGATTTCGACACATTTGTATGTTGCAAGCATTACAGATCACGCGCACGCCAGGTGTTTTGAAAAAGCAAGGTAGGTAAAATGTAATACTTTCTCAGTGGTAAGCAGGGAGTCAAGTGAAATTTCTCCCGCGGTGTTGAGTGCTTCAAGTCGAAATTCTGAGCTGTTCAGAAATATTTCGAGAACAATTGGTATTGCTGATCTAATCGTACACGTCTGGTGTAGCATTAAGTAAAAAGTACAAAAAGTGAGATGCCCCCTTTAACCTGAACTGTTTTAAAAATACGTGTTACACGTTTTCAGCCAAACGTTGGAATTCGTGCAGTAAATTTGTTGGAAATGCTTCCGGTCAGCCCGGTGGTCGGCTGTTTTCGTGATAGTTCGGTACTATGAGGCAGTGCTGTGTAAAACACATTCCGCTCTTTTGCGATAACTTAGATAGATATATATTCTGATGATCTTTATAGCATAAATATGGTCTTTAGTCGCAGCTTTTACCACAACGTTCTGGAGATTTTAGTTAAGAACTTCTCATGGGCTGCATCCAGTTCATTGTGCTTACACGCAATTCGATGCATGGAATCAGTTCATGTAAAGCTCTGGCTTATATGTGAAGGTGAAATTTTACAAAAATGTTGTCATTTGCAAGTTAAAAGTGGCAGGTTTAGTTCAAGACAAGATAGTGCGAGGAGACAGCAACAATATCAACACGAGGACACAGCAGCAGCTTCCGCCCAGACGCTGTTGCTGGCGAGCCGGCAGCAGGCTTCAGGTGGAGCTGGGCGGGAGCCGGAGGGTGCAGTGTCGGGTGACGGGGTGGTATTTGAAGTGTGGGATTCCATATCTCTTAGTGCCAGCTAATGGTGGACGGAAGCCACTCAAGCTGTTGCATCATGCTCCTAGGCCCATTACACACGGCGGAAGTGCTCTTTGTTAGTAGGCTGTATGTTGCAATACCTTGTCCCCGTGCTGCCGATAAAGGGGGTTATAGACGAATCGATATGTGGCAGTGCCGTGTTTTTGAAAGGGCCATGCAATGAACGTCCGAACAATTGCTGCTCCTGATAAGGAATGAAATAGCAATGGCCTGTAATTTATCGCAGTGTTTACTTTATAAACATGTAACGGCATGATCATTTAAACCACAGACTCCCACGCGGATAATAACATGTGTTCTGCGTTTACATAAGCGACGCACGAGAAGGAAGCGTGTATACGCACCAACCCAGTCCTTAATCACTCCTAATATCCATAACGTATGGCTCAGATATTTCAGCTCCGACCGACGTTCGCTCGTTTTTGGTGCACAAGGTATTGTCGTATTCATCAACATAATCCTTATCTTTTACGCCCTGCTAACCTTTGTTGGAGGTCACGGTCGCGGAGGGTAGGTCAGGGTCGCGGAGGGCTGAGGTCTACCGGGATCTCAGGACCAGCCTTGCTCCCCAAGCTCTCGCTCATGTTTTCCAACCCTTCCCCCGCTGTGGCCACCGCAGCGGTGCAGCTGGCCGGCCGGTCCGCCGGGATGGCGGGCCGGCGGCGGGCCGGCGGCGGCGTGTGTTCAGCGGCGGCGGCGGACCGGCCCGCCACCCCGTCTGCGTCGCAGCGTCCGCACCGCGGCCGGAGCCGACCATGTGGCGGCCAGCTGCACCCATGGCGTCACATAAACAGGCGGGCCGAGCAGCGCGCCGGCCCCACCGGCCGGCCCGGCCCGTCCCAGACGCGTTGTCCCCGGGACTGGTCCGTCGGACGTGTCTCGCCGACTGCCGTGTCTCGCCGACTGCTCCGTCGGACGTGTCTCGCTGACTGCTCCGTCGGACGTGTCTCGCCGACTGCCGTGTCTCGCCGACTGGTCCGTCGGACGTGTCTCGCTGACTGCCCCGTCGGATGTGTCTCGCCGACTGCCGTGTCTCGCCGACTGCTCCGTCGGACGTGTCTCGCCGACTACCCTGTCAGATGATTTCTTCAAACTCCGCTGTCTGATGCATCCCCTGTCGCCGGGAGCAGGAATATCCAGGTTTGAATTGGATGATCTTCTGTCACGATCCGGCTGATGAGCGTAACGCATAGGTGTCTCGCTGTGATGATAATGATCGGCGCTGAATCACCAACTCGGCCCTAAAATTATAGCGTCCTATCAACCCTCCCCTTTCCTTGTTGGCAATGAGCTGTCTTCAGGGGTGTCTATTCGTCCTCTTCTGTGAAGGCTTTGCAAGAAATACAGAAAACTTGCCGTTCGTCGACATAGCGTGAGCTAAATTCGTTACAAAGCACATATTTGGGAGAGGTCGGCATGTCGAGCCCTTGGCTCGCCTCTCCCCCGTCATTTACAAAAATCAACGACACTGGCAGTCGTGCTATGTCACTGGTGTCACACCGTTTATATTTGTTCGCAGAAGTTTCGCTTTTTGGAAGCAACGGTCCGAAACAGAAAGCCGCCCACTTCATTGTGTGAACCTCCACCAAACGTATGTGGACACTGGCAGGTCTCGCCAACTCTCCCAGCGCGAAAATGCTTGACCGCTGGTGAACTTAAGCCGATGGCCGTAATCGCCGTTTTGCCGGTGCCAAGCGGACAGTGACGGGACTGGGCCCGGTACCGGAGCTGAGGTCGGCCTCCCGCGCTCCGCTCTGCCTGTGGCCGTCCCCCACGCGGCCCAGATCCGCATTCTTCGACGCGCATGTGGGCTGCCCGTCTGGAGGGCACGGGCCGCTGTTTTGTGCCGCGTGTCCGCGCTGTCGCGTTGGTCCGGCCGGATAGGCCCGGGTCGGTTACCGCCGGCGCGCCTCGGGAAGCCCCAGCTGCGCACCGATCGGCAGGCGGCGCCGCGCGGTGAAGTCCATGGGGCCACCGGCCAGCCGTCTGCGCGGGGGTGGTGCGGGCGCTGCTCGCACCATGAGAAGTCCTAGTCCGATCCTGGAGCTGCTGTTCCACCGGTCGGAGCCGGTGTTTTACCGCTTGCGTAAACACGCGGCATCGCTGGTCGCATGGCCCCCAGCGCCAGCGACGGCTCTGCTGCCGCGGCCCAGCAACGGGGCGCCCGACCTGTGGTCCGGCTGCTTTCGTGTCTGCTTCATTCCTGTCTCGCCTAGGTGAGACCCAAGCGAGATACAATCGTCGGCATGAACAATACTTCACTGGTTGTTCAACCAGACCCAGTCATCGAACGACTTCGTTTCTCGGCGATGGTGTCTTGATTCAGCGGCCTTCGTGGCTGTTAGATCATGTGGCGTTTCCACCGTGCGAAGCAATGGCTTGACTACCAGACGGACACGCCGCTGAACTCGCCGCGTCACTGATTCACTGCGTCGGCGTCGGTGGCGGCGTCTAGCGGCGGCCGTCGCTCGTCGCAGCCGCGCGGCGCTGTTTATTTAAACTCCCGGAGAGGCCGGTAACAAGGCTAAACTAATGGGCCGGTCCGCCTGGCCGCCAGAGTGACGCCCGCTTACTACCCGTGCACTACGCGTGCAATGTCTGCAATGCCCGACACGGCACGCCGATCATTCATCAGGGCCGGGCCGTGCCCGGGCCGGAGAAATGGAGGGGGGGGGGGGGGGAGGGGGAGGGAAGGGCAGACGCCGCGGGGCAGAGGGAGGTCGCTTCGCTGCTGCTAATCCACCCGGCTGTGTTATGGGGTGCAAATGACGGCATGTCTGCAATGGGCAGACTCGCTGTGTCAGCCGCAGCAACAGACGGTTTATTTGTTGTCCCAGAACAGGGGTTGAACGTAAATATACAGCGGACTGGCCGGTGCAGCCTTACCGCGCGGCTTAGTGCAGTTGGCTGTGTCGAGTCGGACGATCGGTAACCTTCCAAAGCGAGGTGCAGATCGACACGACAGGGGTGGCGGGGCGGCCGCCGCGGCCCGGGGAGAGATTAAATGTCTCGGTGGAGCTCTCGCAGTGGACAAGTGCTCTTGTAGAAGCCCTGCTCGGATAGCAAAGCCCCTGCTCTTGTTTTGTAGCCTTAGGTTGAAAGAAGCCGTATTGTTTGAGCATGCCATTTGCCGCACTGATTATCAGGTCGTTTGTGCGGCCGCGAAGGGTATTTAGTGTGTGTGCATGGGCCGTTTTAAAGATAACATTGTGATGCTGTGCGTGTCAACATCTGGGCTACGTCAGGCGTGACGCGAGAAGCGTGCTTGTACTTCAGAAGGCGGGTACCGGTCATCTGTATACCGGTCATCTGTATCTGTATATAAACTCGTGCATCTGGCGTCTGTCAAAGCAACAGGAGGTCGGGGGACGCCGAAATCAAGCGTTTGTCAACCCGTTGGGCGGCGTCCTCGAGTTATCTTCGACGAAGCTTTAAATACTTGGCAATAATGCAACTTATTGACCGATGTCTTGCTGTGAACGATGCTCGTGCACAGCAAGCGGTAGGTGGCCCCATC